ATTACAACCCCACTTGCCACTATTCATGACAGAAGACAAGTCAAAGTCGTGCTTCTCACATATGGATTTTATTTTCAGCCCTCTACATGGAGCACTTAGCTCTTTACATCAGCTCTGGCTTCTAAGGCTATTGTCAGCAGCTTGTGCTGCTCTGCTCTGCGCGGTAAGGAAGGCTCGCCTCTTCTCTCCCAGCCACCTCCACTTCTCACTCATTTAGGGTCCTNTAATATAAAAAATTAAGAGGATGAAAACTGCCTAGTACATCCTTCTCCCTTCAAGAAGAATTAAAAGTTAATATGAGCAAAGTCATTTGAATAGTATCATAATGTTTTTGAATTTTAAAATACATCAGGAAGCAAGATGTCCAATGCCATTGCTTTAAAGGTGAGGCACAGTGAGGCGAGTGACCACTAAGGACAAGTCTCTTAGGGACAAGGCTGAATTTGGAGCCCTGAGTCTTCAGCGTACAAACCTCGGTAGGCCTCCTTGGACTCTGGATGTTTAATATCCACGTTGAAATGTACTTTCGTGGGCCGGCCCGTTGGCGCACTGCTACAGTGCGCCGCTTGGGAGCGCAGTGGCACTCCCACTGAGGGTTCGGATCCCACATGCAGACCGGTTCCCGCTCACTGGCTGAGCGAGGTGTGGGAGCAACACCGAGGGTTGCGATCCCGTTGTCGGTCCCGGTCCGGTACGGGGGTGACACTGAGGGTTGCAATCTGTTGCCGGACACGAAAAAAAGACAAAAAAGGAAAAAAAAAAAAAAAGAAATGTACTTTCGTTGTGAACCACCCTGCCCGAAGCTCAAGTGGGAAAGCAGAGCCTCACCTCCCCGAGCGTCTTCCAGCCCCACCTCCACACACCACCCTTTTCTTTAATCTGAAAAATTGCTGTAGAGATTTTCTAATGTTGGGTCATTCTTGGATTTCTCGGTTAGGCCTGACTTTATCCTGATGCACCTTTGTTTTACATACATCTGGATGTGATCTGTCAATATTTCATGAAGGATTTCCTTGGTCTCCAGGTCCACAGACATACATGGCAACTCTTATTCAAACAAGCTGAGATTCTAGACGCATGTGCCACCCTCCCCAGTCTTGACGTCATTTGGACAAGTGAAGAGTAATTTAACCAGCACACTCTGGTTATGCCCGAGGGCAGATGACAGCATTTCCCCCAAAAATGAAAATACAAGGCTAAGGGGTTGAGAAAAGTATTAATGTTTAAATATTGACTCCATTTAGTATCTGGCTTTGTCAATAGGTGACCAACTGTTCCATTCAAACAGTTATTGGTGATCCAAGTTATAGATTCCCAAAAAAGTCTCGGTCAGAAATTTCAGAATTTAATAGCCGTGAGATTTGTTACACAAAAATTATCCAAAATAAGACACAAAAACTCTTCTAAGAAATTAAGTCAGCCATTTATATATATATATATATATATGTATGTATATAATGAGGAAGGAGTCACTACAATATGACATTAGGTTCAAATTTTCAAGCCAACGAAGATGAATTCTTAACTGATCCATGTACTCTTGCCCCCAAGCGTACAGCTGCTGATTACGTGGGTTGATGGACTTAGAATTACAACCCCACTTGCCACTATTCATGACAGAAGACAAGTCAAAGTCGTGCTTCTCACATGTGGATTTTATTTTTAGCCCTCTACATGGAGCACTTAGCCCTTTACATCAGCTCTGGCTTCTAAAGCTGTTGTCAGCAGCTTGTGCTGCTCTGCTCTGTGTGGTAAGGCAGGCTCGCCTCTTCTTCTCTCCCAGCCACCTCCACTTCTCACTCATTTAGGGTCCTTAGCACAAGGGATGGGAGGTGAGAGCTTGTGGGGTCACGCTCACTACCTGCCTGCCTGGGTTTTCTGTACGCAGAGGAGATATTCCTGCACATCATCCGGGGACCCCAGAATGAGGGGGACCCGCTGGTGAATAGCCTCAGGCTTCACGTCCAGTACAGGCTGGGTGCCCGTGGTCGCCAAGCCTCCTGCCTGCTCAATGATGAAAGCCATAGGATTGCACTCGTACAGGTGCCGGAGCTGGGGAGAAACAGAGTCAGGTGGGGAAACTTTGCTAGTAGACAAACATCCCCAGCCATGCCCCTGAAGCTCAAGGAGGAACCTGAACTGCCGAGCTTCCGTCTGCCTTGTTAGCCTCACGAGAGAATGGGCGGCCTGGGTGTTAGAGCCCACGGAGGATGCAGGCCTCCCTGGTGCTCTGCACATGTGCCTCTGGGGCCGCCTCTGGCAGGAGGCTGAGATATGCATCTACCTGCCTTGTGATCTTTGAGCTGATGAGGCTCCCGCTAGACTTGGAGACATGAAATCTGGGTGCCCATTTCTCATTGGTTCAGCAATGAGGTAAACTAATTCTGAGCCCTAGTTAGAAGCTTTTATAGGTGAGGTCTAAGGCCAAGAAGAAAGCAAGTCTGGGTGGGATCGTAAGGTCTCCA